AAAAAATGCAGGACGCTTAAGCGAAGTTTCGTCGCTGGTTTAGTCCGTGTAAGTGAGGCGGGAAGAGGCGGGAGAAACCGTGCCTTCCAGATGTACGGGGATTGAGTTCACCTTTGGAAACTGATGATTCATGTCAGAGGCGGAGGGAGAGAACTAGCACCTGTCGGTCCACTGCTCCAGTGCACACAGTAACCAGGGCTGGGCTGGGGCCAAGGCAGGGAGCCGGAACTTGATCCAGGTCACCCACGTGGGTGGCAGAGACCCAAGGCTGGAGTAGCAGGGAGCTGGAGCCAGGAGGCCCAGGCCCTCCCCGGGGCCTGTTACTTCAGTGTCCTGAGTTGACAGCTGCACGCGTTCGCCTTCCCATATGACGAGACTCAACACAGCTGAGTCGCAGCAGCAGCCACGCGGGGCCCACGGGCTGAGCCCGGGCTGTCACGCGGGGCCCACGGGCCGAGCCCGGGCTGTCATGCGGGGCCCACGGGCCGAGCCCGGGCTGTCACGCGGGGCCCACGGGCTGAGCCCGGGCTGTCACATGGGGATCACAGGCCAAGCCCAGGCTGTCACATGGATGTGGCCACGTCCCGCCCAGCCAGCTCTGCAGGAAGGGGATCCCACACGCTCCCCTCTGTCCTTCCCACTTCAGACGTAAAAGAACGGCACTGCGTGAGCTGAGAGATGTCCCCTCAGCCTCCCGCTGTCCACCTTGCTCTACAAGTGAAGGCCAAGAAGGAGCAGGCGTCCACACGCCTCCTCCCCAGCCTCCCCGCCCCGAGACTCAGTCTCAGGCACACACAGGGCACTGTGTGGTCCAGGACGCCGGGCCAGGCCAGTGGAGTCCTGTCTCCATCTCACAGAAGGGGACACGGAGGCAGACACATTGCTTTGATGGCAGCCAGCAGACAAACAGTGGAGCTGGGGTTCCAAGGACTTTTGGGTTGCTCCCTCTCTCACCACTGACCTGGCTCAGGCCCTGACCCAGTGTTGCAAAGCTGAGCCGGGGAATCACTGATGGTTGCAGCTTCCAGGTTTGTGAAGGTGGGGGCAAGTGTTAGAAGGTGGACTCTGGGCATTTGCCCGGCCGCACAGGCTGTGCCGTCCACTGCTCATAGGCGGTCAGCCTGGAATGTCTCAGATTCAGCACAGGGACGCAACCCGGAGAAGCCTGCACACGGATGGGTCAAGCCAGAGGCAGAGATTTCTAGAGGTCCAGAGAGCCGTCACGTCGTGTGCGGGAGCAGATGTGTGTTCCGGACGTGTGTAGATGGAATGGTTTTAACCGCCTGAAGACCTGGCAGTACTCTCGGGCCCTCACAGCCGTGCGCACAGCTTCCCTCTTGCTCCGTTTTGAGCAGGGCTGTGTTCTCCCTGGGGGTGCGGTCCAGTTAAGTGTCCACGTCTGGATCCGTTCTCCACTGGCGCCTCGTTCAAACGTTAGGAGCCTGTGAGGCAGTGCATCCGTTTCTGGACTCCTGCTCTGTCCCTCGTCTCTGTGTCTGTCTGTGCCAGCCGTGAGCTGTTCTGATCATTGTAGCTTTGAGGTGTGTTGTGAACTCAGACGTTCCAGTGCCTCCAGTTCTGTTTGGCTCAGACGTGCTTGGCTCTCCTGGGCCCTTTGTCTGAATTCTGTGATTATTTTGTGTTCGTTGGTGGGGGTTGCACTGGATTTGCAGATTCCTTGGGTCATACGGACGTTGTAACAGGACTCACCAGTCCATCAGCGTGCCCTGGTTTTCACTGAAGAGAGCTTGCGCTTCCTTGGGGAAGTGCGTTCCTCCGTATTGAGTCTTTTGCAGATAGTGTGAGTGGGACTACTTGTTCACTTCCTAATGTTGACACATAACATACTTCATTCCTGTACATAGCGTTTGCTTTCTGAGACATCACTGAACTCATTTATCAGTTCCAGTAGCTTCTCGGGGTGCGTCCATTCTTCTACGTGGGATATGATGCCATCGCCAGCAGGGAGGCTTTGGCTTCTTTCCGGGCGGGATGTCCTTTCTTTCTCTGTTCTGGTTGCTCTGAAACTCCCAGGACTTGTTGAAGTGTGGGGAGAGCTGGCCGCCTGCTTGCCCAGGTCTGAGAGGGGGCACTTTGAGCTGTGCCCCTTTGGCATGGCGTAGGCTGTGGGTTCTTCATCGACAGCCTTGATTAGCTTGAGACATGGTCCTTCTGCAGCCGTGGTGTGGCGTTGGGGGTTCTCACTGTGAACAGTGTTGGATTCTCTGGCTTCTGTTTCTGTGGAGGTGCTCCCGTCTGGGTGCACACGGTAGCACGGGGTGACCCCTTGCACCCCTGGCCGCACGTGTGTGGTTGAGGATTTGCTTCTGTGTTCCTCGGGGGTGCTGGTCTGGTTTCCGTCGGGTTTTCCTGTCAGTAATGCTGGCCTCATGAACTGAGTTTGGTAGGGTCCCGCTTTCCAACTTTGTGCAAGAGTTTAGGAAGAATTTATATTAGTTCTTTTTGAATGTTTTGTGGAATTCACCAGTAAGAGCCATCTTTGTTGGGAGACACTTTCTTACCGGCTCAGTCTCAAGGTCTGTATGGGTCTCCTGTGTCTTCCTGGTTCGGTTTGGTAAGTTGCACGCATCTACAGATTCATCCCTTTCTGCTCATTGTCCCATGTGCTGGCCTGCAGATGCCCCTAGTGGTCCTTGTGTTGCTGAGGGACTGGTTGGAAATGCCCTGTAGTTTTAATTGCCTGTGACCACCGTGAGATTTGCTACATACGGGTGAAGCAGCCGTCTTCCCACTGATCATTGCTTGTAGCCCCTGCACACGGTTCTGCTAAACCAGGGCCTTTTGCTTTGTCCCCCATTGAACTCCTGAGTGATGGCCTGCAGCCGTTGAGGGCAGCAGGATTTGTTCATCGTTGGTGTGACTGACGCGCCTCTGCCTCGTGGTCTGGGCTGTTCCGTCCTAGGTCGGGTGTGATCTGGCCTTGCTTCCTGGCTAGGCTGCCTCCCTGGCAAGCTTCCTCTTGCTGCTGCCGGCTTCCCTCGGCCCTGCTCCTGGGGTGAGCCTGCAAGCTCTGATGCTGTGTTTCCATTTTCATCTTTTATTTCAGTTTTCATCTGTGTGTTGACTCTGTTCACTGAGGAGAGTGTGGCTTGGTCTCCATGTGTTGGGCGGTTTCTAGTCTTGCTCTTTGTGATACGGGAAGATGCCTGATTTCAACGTTTCTGAGCCACTTGGGACGTGCGTCATGGCCGAGCCCATGGCCTGCAGTTGGGGTTGGGGGAACCCACACTCATCGGCCAGGTCCTGTGGTGTGGTGGGGTTGGCTCTCCCATCACTGGTTTCTCCGACTGGAGTGTCCATCCTTTGATGCAGGCGGGGCGTCCCAGGCCCACTGTCAGGTGGCGAAGTGCACAGGGTCTCCCATCATCGGTGCCCCAGCGCTGGGGGCATCTGCAGGGTCAGCTGTGCTGGTGGCTCTGTCCTCTGTCCCGCTGCACAGTCTATAACCTCATACGTGCCTCCTCTCCGGAGGCTACGCCTGCTTCCTTTTGGCTTCCGTCCACATGGGATCTTTTTTTTCCAATCCTCGACTTTCCATAATGTGTGTCAAAGAAGTCAAAAGTTCCTTCATCCTCTTGCAAATGCATTTGATGGGTGATTTTCCTAGACCGTGGAGATGTTTTTTGCCTTAAAGGAATCCCCTGCAGGAGGGAAGCTAGTGGTGTGGTCAGCCTTTCAGTGTCTAGATTGTGGACACGTCTGTCAGGAAGCCTTGGAGAATAACCGTGAAGGTGTGAGCGAGCCAGGCTGCGACGCCTCCGCGTGCCCTCGCTTCAGCTTGCTGGGAGAGCCTGCGCTCGGTGACTGTCCACGTCTGCAGTGATGTGCGCGTGCGCCGTGGTGCCTGCTCAGCCCAGCGCTGAAGATGAGCCCAGCTACGTGGAGAACACGTGCTTTTATTTTTTATTTTTTTCAAAGAGTTAGAGAGAGGGGGGTCTTCCATCTGCTGGTTCAATACCCAGTTGACCACAGTGGCTGGAGCTGGGCCAATCCGAAGCCAGGAGCCAGGAACTTCTTCCAGGCCTCCCACACAGGTACAGGGGCCCAAGGATTTGGGCCATCTTGTGCTGCTTTCCCAGGCCACAGCAGAGAGCTGGATCGGAAGTGGAGCAGCCGGGACTCGAACTGGTGCTCATATGGGATGCCGGCACTGCAGGCAGCGGCTTTACCCACTACACCACAGTGCCAGCCCTGAACCTGTGCTTTTTAAACATGGATTCTTGTGTCTCTGAGGCTTCTCGGTCCCTGCACTGGCGCCGAGATGGGGCTCACATCAGCGTTCCTGCGTGAGAACCCCAGCAGTGTAACACCAGGAACCCCCAGCGCGGTCGGCCTCAGAGTGTGGAGCGGGCGCTGCTGCTCCCCGCGCCCCGCCAGGTCAGTGGATCTGCAGGTCCGTCCTGGGAGGACAGAGACCCTCCTGCCTGCGGATGAACCCGGCCAGGGGCTGCCCTGTCGTGTGAAGACCCCACTCGCCGAGGGCTGTGCCTCCGCCTGCGGGTGCTGGTCCTGTGCACGTGCAGCACTGTAGCCCCGACGCTCCACCCGCAGACGCTGTGGCGGAAAGGCAGGGTTTCCTGAGGAATGTCTTCCCTGCACTGGTTCCAACAGCCAGGGTTGGGTCAGGCTGAAGCCGGGACTCCGTCCGTGTCTCCCATGTGGGTGCAGGCACTGCTGCCTCCCAGGGGCACATTAGCAGAGCCAGGGCTGCACCCAGGCACCGGGCCCTGGGCTGAGCGCCTGCCCCGCAGGTTCCTGTTACAAGCGCTCCGTACTCGGCTCTCTGGGCGTCAGGGTCTCGTCTGCCATAGTTTAGCGGGGAACAGTGCACTTCCCGTGATCCCAGGACTGCGCCGTGTCACGCAGGGGTCACAGGCCCAGACCGCCGTGTTCTCCCAGATCTGGTGTCGCCCTCTCAGGCTGGACGTCCGGGGTGCACGTGGGGCACCTCTTGCTGACCCTGTGTCTTTCTCTCGCAGCGGTCTCCTACCCAAACTACAAGAAAACACCCCCGCCCGTCCCTCCCCGGACCACCTCCAAGCCTCTCATCTCAGTGGCAGCGCAGAGCAGCACCGAGTCCACGCAGGACGCCTACCAGGACAGCCGGGCCCAGCGGATGGCCCCGTGGGCCCAGGACGGCCGCGGCCTCTACGGCTCCACGGACAGCCTGGACAGCAGTAAGGCCGTGAGTCTGGCTCTGGAGACGGCCGCAGCCCAGCGCCACGCGGACGGCCAGGGCGGCCCCTCACGGACCAGTGACAAAGGCGCGCTGGCATCCAAGGCCGAGGACTTCCTCAAGAGCCGGCGCTCCTCCATCGGCGTCCAGGTAGCGTCCCTGTGGGCAGCGAGGTGGGCCGAGGCCCCATGCGGCCCGTACCCCACGTGTGGGGCATTCTCGAGGGGCCACAGCTGCCCAGACGGTGTGGGGACGGCGTCATCTCGGGCTGAGGAGGGCGTGTTGTGGTGAACGTCTGGTTCTGCACACGGTGCTTGGTCGAGGGGGCGGTGGAAGGTCGTGGGAGGACGAAGCGTGTGCAGGCCCAGGGCCTCAGCTCAGAGGGCGGCCGGCTCCCTCCTGTCCCCACCCCTGCTTGGCAAGCTCAGGGCCGGTGCCACAAGGTGGCAGCCCAGCAGGCAGGGACTTCCTCCAGGTCTGCCTCCAGAGGCTCTCCCCTCCCCGACTGGTGGGGCTGCCTCTCGTCACTCATCCAGTGGCATTTCAGCCAGCCCCCGGAGAGGAGTGGGAGCTGACCATGCGGCCCAGCGTGAAGCGTGGCGGGGGCCGGCGGAGCCGGGGGAGCCGGGGGAGGCCCGCTGGCCTCCGCCCTGAGCTGGATGCCCACACTGTGGCTTCGTTGTTTTGTTTAGGAGTCTGAGTTCCCAGAGCCTCAGCCGTCCCCAAGGTCCGACGTAAGTACCGAGACTCCGTCGGCCACGTGCGCATGGGCTTGGCCTTCCCTCCCCAATCCCTCCCACAACTGCTCTCGTCCCCTCTGTCCTGACTCTATGTGCCAGGCACCCTGCTGGGCGCACCCACTCCACGCTGGCGGGGACCTCGGGGGCTGAGGCCCGGAGAGGCCCTCCAGCCACACTCGCTGCCATGAGGGACTTCAGCCACCCAGGGAGGTCACATCTCCTGGCAAAGGCAGCCCCCGGCAATGCTGCTCCAGGCTGGCTGCTGCGAGCCCCCCCCACACACAGCTGTTGTGTGAGGGCCAGGACCACACCTGGGGCACATGACCCCCGGCACCTAGCACAGTGCCTGGCACATAGCCAGTGCTCGGTCAATGTTGGGTACGTGAGTGGACGGGGGGCCGTCGGGGGAGGGCTGGAGAGGACGCCTGTCTGCTGGTTCTATTCTCCTGGCACTGCAGACGGCACAGGCCGTGTGAGCTCGGAACCCCGCGGCTGAGCAGACAGCAGTGGGGAAGCCAGTCCAGGAGTAAAGATGGGGCAGAGAACAAATGGCCAGGGAGCAGAAGGAGGGGTCCTGCACAGACCCCACAGGCCGCAGAGAAGCCGGGCAGGGTGAAAGCAGAGTAAGCGGGCGGCGGGCTGTCGTGGGTGCACCTCCAGGCCACGTGGCCGTGCTCTGTGCCCGCGGTGGTCCCCTCCAGGCCGCGTGGCCGTGCTCTGTGCCCGTGGTGGGCCCCTCCAGGCTGTGGCTGGCTGCACTAAGGTGCAGGGAGGGTAAGTGTCCCAAAGCAGAGGTGAAGACCCCTGAGCTGCAGGGTGACGGCCGTCTGAAAGCCAGCCGAATCGTGCCTGACACCTGGCTGCTGCCCCTTCCCAGAGCCACGGCCACAGGGAAGCAGGTGGAGCTGAGCCTGCATGCAGGAAGCGCAGGTCTCAGGCCCAGAGTCAGGGCATCACACAACACCATGACCATGGCCAGTGCTTCCTGCACAGCTCCGTCCAGCAGCACCGAGTGCAGGCCAGTGCCCACAAGCCCAATCCCCTTGCTGTCTTCACTGTGGGACTCGTCCCTGAGTCCCGCTACACGTGCAGAGCTGCCCGTGTTCTCTCCAGGCACATGTGTGAGACAGGAGATGCCTCCTGCCCCCGGCCCCCATCCTCACTACAGGCGGGTGGCGGGGACTGGGAGGGTGCGGGGCAGTGTCGGTGAAAACCTCTGTGGGGTTTCCTGCACACGCCTGGCCTGAGCACAGCACCCCGGCCTCTGCCCAGGGGTCCCTGCGGACTCAGAGCCAGTTTGCACCTAACGCAGTGTGGCTTGTGCAGCATGTGGCTCTGAGAGGAACAGCGACGCACGAGGAGCCCAGAGGGCCTCTCGGCCTGTCGGGTGCACGCACAAGCTGGGGCCCAGGCGCCAAGGCCTCCTCCCCGCCCCAGCCCATTCTCATCAGCCCTGTGTGCACACACCAGACTCCTGTCCTGAACAGACTGTACAAGAGTGGCCCTCGGCTCAGCCCCGGTTGTCCCAGAAGCACCGTGAGCCATCACCTGTCGCTCACCACGGCTCCATCAGGGAGCTCCTAACAGCTCGTGCCTGGGAGCTCCGGAGACGCAGCGTGGTGCCGGGCCGCCCTCTCGGCCTGCCGCAGGTGCCTGACACCCAGCCGACAGCTTGCTCAGGAAAGGGCCCCTTGAGTTTCACAGCCGGCAAAGGCAGAATCTGACGAGGCCCAGTTATAGCTTCCTACTTCACTCTTCAGCCAGCAAAATTAAGTCAGAGACCTGGATACAGAGATTGCCTCATACTTGTAGTCACACAGTGTGTACGTGCCTGCAAGGGTGTGTGTGCATGTGTGTATGCACGTGCGTCCCGGCACTGTTGTCCACGGCCCCTGACCCACTTTCTGTAGTCCCGCATTTTGCACTGGTGCTCACTTTGTGTGTGTGTGTGTGTGCGTGCATCCCATCACTGTTGTCCACGGTCCCTGACCCACTTTCTGTAGTCCCGTATTTTGCAGTGGTCACCACCACTGTGAGTGCGTGGTGTCGCCACGCTGCACCCCCAGCCTTGCCCCTCCCCCGTTTCCCGGGTGTTCTGGGCCCTGCCTGCAGGCTCGGCTCCAGCAGTGCAGCCACTGAGGCGAACGTGGTAGGAATTTGAGGACCCGAGCAACGCCATTCAGTCGCGTGCAGGAACTTTGAGACCCATGCGTGGTTTCCCATCATCTGCGTGTCCCGTGACCTATTTCCAGACTGGTAAAATGCACACAAGGTAGACAGACCCACAGCACGCCGTGTGTAGAAGTCTAGAAATAGACAAAGTTTCCCTGCTTGACGAGGTCAGGTCCCATGGTGAGATGCACCAGGATGCCTCGTGGCGCGGCCATGGCGTTGGAAGTGCATCATCACCGTCCTGTGTAAACTCATCTCCACACAAGACCAGGAGGAGGAGGCTGAATCCCAACAGGAAGCCTAGGAATTTCCTCCAGGAATGAATATTCTGCCTGCAGTCCACGCTCGGCCTGCAGCTGTGGAAACTGGAGCACAGATGCACTGCAGCCCCAGTGCAGGCGGCAGAAGCCCGCCAGGGGCCGCGGGGCATCCGTGCGGGCAGAGAGCTGCACGCAAGGCCCCTGGCTGTGCCCTCAGCAAGCAGGGAGCCCCGGGCGAGTTCCGCCCCTGGCTCCCTGGCTGCCCCTCTGGGATTACAGGCAGCCACGCTGCCCAGCAGGGCACCTGGGGCAGGGGGACACCTCAGAAACACCAAGCGGCCCACAGCCTTGCTTCTGGTGGCTGGAGTCGGCTCCGCCCTGTTTGTTTGGCTCTGCCTTGAGGCCATCACTCAGAGTGCAGCTCTCACCACGCTCTTGGAAGACCCTGGGGCTGCTGTCCTGTAATCTTCACACTGTCCTGGGAGAGATCAGTGATGCTTTGAAGGAAAGGCAGGTGTACAGCTCAGTCATGATGCCCCGGACGGGGGCCGGCAGTCCTCCCCATAGAACAGGGAACACTCCTGGGAACGCAGACAGCCGGTTCCGCATCTGGGTGCTTCCGGCTTCGCTAACCTCTGGTTTCAGCAGTTGGTACTGAGACGTTCCAGGTGGTGATTTTTTCTCAAAAAATGCCTGGTGGCAGGACTCCCTTGGGATAACGTCACACAGCCAGTGAGCGTCTCAGGGTTCCCGGGAGACTCCTGCAGGGGCAGCAGCAGGAGGGGTTTCCTGTGGACTCCCTGACCTCTTCCTGATGGCAGTCCTGTTCCCGATGTGGGGCTGCCGCACTCCTGTAGACACGCACGTGTAGGTGCAGGTATGGCAGTGCACAGATACACATGTGTGGCTCTACATGGACGCAGCTACATTTAGATCCATGTGTGCCCCTGTGGGCACAGGCACAGGGACATGGAGCTACACGGAGCTCTGTGTAGACACAGGTGCACCTGCACAGGCACAGTTACCTGTAGATAAACACGTAGCTGGGTAGGATGCAGATGCAGAGTTTGCCTGGCTGTTCTGATCACGCTGATTCCTTCCTGTGTCTGTGGATGCAGCTGGCAGCATAATTCTATCAAGTCGCTCGTTTGCTCCTGTCATCTGTACTCATGTTCTTCGTTCTAGAACATGGCGAGAGCTGCCCGGTGCTACAGTGCAGGGGCCAGAGCCAGGGCTGCTGGTGCTACAGTGCAGGGGTCAGAGCCAGGGCTGCTGGTGCTACAGTGCAGGGGTCAGAGCCAGGGCTGCTGGTGCTACAGTGCAGGGGCCAGAGCCAGGGCTGCTGGTGCTACAGTGCAGGGCCAGAGCCAGGGCTGCCGGTGCTACAGTGCAGGGGCCACAGCCAGGGCTGCCGGTGCTACAGTGCAGGGGCCAGAGCCAGGGCTGCCGGTGCTACAGTGCAGGGGCCAGAGCCAGGGCTGCCGGTGCTACAGTGCAGGGGCCAGAGCCAGGGCTGCCGGTGCTACAGTGCAGGGCCAGAGCCAGGGCTGCCAGTGCTACAGTGCAGGGGCCAGAGCCAGGGCTGCCGGTGCTACAGTGCAGGGGCCAGAGCCAGGGCTGCCGGTGCTACAGTGCAGGGGCCAGAGCCAGGGCTGCCGGTGCTACAGTGCAGGGCCAGAGCCAGGGCTGCCGGTGCTACAGTGCAGGGCCAGAGCCAGGGCTGCCGGTGCTACAGTGCAGGGGCCAGAGCCAGGGCTGCCGGTGCTACAGTGCAGGGGCCACAGCCAGGGCTGCCGGTGCTACAGTGCAGGGGCCAGAGCCAGGGCTGCCGGTGCTGCAGTGCAGGGGCCAGAGCCAGGGCTGCTGTAGTGCAGTTGGACAAAGCTTGTTTCTCGCCTGAGCTGATCTAAGCGATTTCATTTGCATATGTTTAGAAAACTGAAGTGCAGCCTTGTGTTCAAGTAGTTCTGTGAGACTGGGTGGCACAGAGCAGCAGAAAAGCTATTCCAATGTGAATGCGTCTCCACCCCTCTGTGATTTTACTGGGTCAAGTACGTTTCTGTATTAATTAAACAAATGCATAATGACAAGTGAATGACCGAAAAAAGCAGTCCCTGGCCCAGGCCCCATGTTTTGCTTCTACAACGAGATGTTCTGTGTTGCATTAGGTGGAAACAGCTACGGACTCCGACACGGAGAGCCGCGGCCTGCGGGAATTTCACTCTGTCGGGGTGCAAGTGGAAGACGACAAGCGGTAACTCAGCCCTCGGTGCCGCGCCGCGCGGTCACACTGGCCCTCCATGGCCCTCGCCGTTTGTGCACCTGGGGCCGCCCGAGCGCAGTTCCCACGCCTGTCGCTCAACTATGACTTAGCACCACCTCTGGCTTTTGCAAGAGGCGAGGGAGTAATTCTTCTCAAAGTAATTTACCAGCTAGGAGCAGGAGGGACTGCCGGTCCTCTCTCTGGAGGGGAGGGGGCTGAGGGCAAAGCAGGCGTGTGCTCCCTACCGGGCAGTGCTGAGAGCAGGCTGCGGAGGCACAGCCTGTGCCACAAGACTGCTTCCTCTGCAGACGCCAGCTGCACACACGTGCAGGATGGGCGGCTTGCGTGTCAACAGCACCTGCCACGTGTGGTGTGGCCTCCCTACTGAGGGAAGGGGTTGGGACCCCACCTGGAAAGGTTTAGATTGCCCAGGGCTTCCCAGGTTCCACGCTGGCCAATGACCACCTCGGAACCTGGCTTCTGCCTCCAGCCCAGGCTCCTGCTGGCCACAGCCTACAGCACAGGAAAGCAGCTGCACACATAGTGCGCCCAGGGCAGAGCTAGAGAGCCACGGGATGCACAGACATGCACGCGTGTCACTGGCAGGCAGCCCTGGGTGCGCGGTTCTAGGGGTGTTCCTTGCAGTCAGCCCTGTGGAAATGTTGGCAGTTAAACACACCGGGACAGCGCCCCCAGGACCCAAAGGCCTGACCTCATCAGTCCGCACACAGAGAGCAGCTGCAGCCCCGGGGGTATCCTGGCTGCTTTATCTGCCCGTGGGTGTGGCCCTGGGCGGAGGTCCAGCCTGGGGGGCTCGTTTTGCTGGGCCTGTGAGGCCCCCGCACCATCCAGGAAGCTTGCCCAGGGATGGGCAGCTAGTGCGCTGAGACTAACGTCCAGCCATCTCCAGAGCAAGGGTTGTGCAGAGGGAACAGCCGCACCGGAGAAGAGGGGTCCCGCGGGGCGCAGGGTGGCACATGCACAGTGGCCCCCAAAGGGCAACCACGTCTCGTGGCTTCTCCACAGGCACGGGCGGTTCAAGCGTTCCAACAGTGTCACGGCCGCCGTGCAGGCCGACCTGGAGCTGGAGGGCTTCGCCGGCCACACAGCTACGGAGGACAAGGGCCTGCAGTTCGGCTCCTCATTCCAGCGGCGCTCAGAGCCCAGCACCCCGACACAGTACGGGGCGGTGCGGACGGTGCGGACACAGGGGCTCTTCAGCTACCGGGAGGACTACCGCACACAGGCGGACACGGCCAGCCTGCCCCCCGCCGACCCCTGGCTGGAGCCCTCGCTGGAGCCCGTGGACAGCGGGAGGATGTCGCCCTGCCGCAGGGATGGCTCCTGGTTCCTGAAGCTGCTGCACACGGAGACCAAGCGCATGGAGGGCTGGCGCAAGGAGATGGAGCGGGAAGCCGAGGAGAACGACCTCGCCGAGGAGAGTAAGCACTGGGGCTGCGGGAGGCCAGGCGGCGGGCCGGTAGGGAAGGAGAGCGCCGGCTGGCTTGGCTCCTGGCACGAGGGCATGGGGAGCGGCCCTGGAGGCCCTGCTGGACGCGAGCATCCTGGCTGACAGGTGCAGTGAGAGTGTGTATTTGCACGGTCCGTCTCCCAGACACCTGCCGCTTCCCCAGGGTGGTGGCCACAGGTGCAGGTGAGCGCGTGTACGCACGGTCCATCTCCCAGACACCTGCCGCTTCCCCAGGGTGGTGGCCACAGGTGCAGGTGAGAGCGCGTGTGCGCACGGTCCGTCTCCCAGACACCTGCCGCTTCCCCCAGGTGGCAGCTGCTGAATCAGCCCCAGTCCCTTGGCTTCAGGCCCAGGGAAGGTGCGGACACACAGTGCATAGAGGGGCAGAGCCCCACTGGCTCATGGGTCTCTGGCTCTCTGCAGAGAGAGGCAGCCCCTCCTCTATCTGCTCCCCTAGCTGAAGCGACGTGTGGAAAGGGGCTGCCGGAGGCTGATCAAAGGCGCAGTCTCTGTTCCGCTGGGGAGACAGCTCCCAGTGTCTGTCGCCCTGCAGGGCCCTCAGCTGGTAAAAGGCTCCCACACCCTGACCACAGGAACAGTGCGGGGGGCACGTGGGGCTGTTACTTAGCTTGACTTTCTATGCTGTAGACACGGATCAAAGCACCACACTGCGCTCTGTAAATAAGCCGTGATCATTTGTCAGTTAAAGCGTGAGGGTCACAGAAGCAAACAGCCAGGGGATGCGCACCTTCCAGGCCGCACGGCTGCCTACGCAGCTGCAGAAACACCAGGCCTCGCCGCGGCTCCGGGCCGCGCCGACGGCTTGCTCGCTGCCCTGCCCGGTGCCCTTGCCTGTGCCTAGAAGTTCTGAGGTCAGATGACAGCTGTGTCCATGGGCCTGGAGCCCTGCCATCCCTCCCCGGGGTACTGCTTGGGGGCCCTGGGATGCCGTGGCTAGCAGGTCGTATGTTAGGGTTATGCTGTTCAGCCTGCGGCATTCACCTGGGGAGGGGGGAGAAGCAGCCTTGGCCTACGTGTGCGTCTCTGTCAGTCATGGCTGGGCAGAGGGGTGGTCCCAGGCCCGTGGGAGCTGTGTCCTAGGCATGTGCGCCCTGCTTGCTCAGCCGCCCAGGCTCACACGATGCAGCCTGTGCCCACGGCCCCGGACCTGAGGGGTCATCCGTCTCCAGCATTTCTCCTGTCAGCGTGTGCTGTGCGTCACCTGGGCAAAGCTGCCCGTAACACAACAGGGATGCGTCATTGTGACCTCGGAGTCGACACGCAGGGGAGGGTGCCGCCCGCTTGACCCGTGCCCTGCTCGGGGCCACGTCCTCAGAGCTCCCTGGGGAGGGGCAGGAGGCTTCAGGAAGGTGAGCCCTGTCAGACGGCGCCCACACATCAGACGCCGCTAAGCACACGCCCTCGGAGGCCTGGCGTCTGAAGACAGCACAGAGAAATCCTCGCCTTATGCTGTTTTCCATATTCAGTGGGCACTTTTGTAGTTTCTCAGAATTATAGTTTTTAAAATTATGTTTAAAAAAACAGGCTTTGACCTGGGATCTCCACATAGCAAAAGAGAAATGGCCACAGTTCAGCAGGAGGACAGACAAGGGCTGTAAATGGTAATAAAATGAAAGGATGCCTGTCTCACTCATTTACAACTATGGTAGCAAATCCACAAATATGAACCACAAGTGAGAAAAAGTGGCTTTATTTTCTTCTTGGGTCTGACTTGCAGTTACATCTGTTTCCCTGCAAATGCCAGGATTTCGTTCTTTCGTTCTTTTTTGGTATGTTCTGTCCGGTCATCAGCTGGTGGACATCCAGGTTGACTGTACATCTTCACTACTGTGAACTGAGCTGTAACCTTGGGCATGCTGATTGCATTTCACTTCCTCCTGCTCCCAGGAGTAGAACTGCTGTGTCGTCTGGTAGGTTTCTGAGGAATCTCCATACTGTCTTCCACAGCGGCTGGGCCAGTACATTCCCACCGTCAGTGGACTGGGCCCTGCCAGCATTCATGAGTTGTGGATGGGAACGGTGAAACCTCACTGTGGTTTTTATTTGCGTTCCCCTAAAGACTAGTGATCCTAAGCATCTTTTCACATATGTGTTGGCCATTGGTTTTTTTCTCTTTCGAAAAGTGCCTGTTCGTGTCATTTGCCCATTTCTTAACCGGGTTTTTCATTGAGTTTCTAGAGCTTTTACATATTCTGGATGTTTTCCTTTACCAGATGCATAGTTTATGAATATTTTCTCCCATTCTGCTGGTTGCCTCATCACCTTATTGTTTCCTCTGTTGCCTAGAAGCCTCTTAGCTTGATAGAATCCTGTTCGTTGAATTTTACTTTTATTGCCTGTGTTTGTAGAGTCTTCTCCAAGAAGTATTTGCCTAAACTAGTGTCTTGGGCATTTCCCCAATGTTTTCCTCTAAGAATTTGATGGTTTCAGGTCTTAGGTTTAGATCCTTGATCCAATGAGAGTTAATTTTTCTGTGGGTGTAAGGTAGGGGTTTTGTTTCAAATTCTGCATGTGGAAATCCAGTTTCCCCAACACCATTTGTTGAAGAGACTGTCTTCTCTCCAGGGAGTGACTTTGGCTTTTTTGTCAAAGATTGGTTGGCTGTGGATGTGTGGACTGACTCTGGAGTTTGTATTCTGCTCCATTGGCCTACGTGTCTATTGTTGTGCCAGTACAAGTCTCTTGATTCTAACAGCCCTGTCACATAAAGTCTGGTGTTGTGATGTCTCTGGCTTTGTTTTTAAGATTGCTGTGGTTATTTGGAGTCTTGTGTTTCCATGTAAAATTTAGTATTATTTTTTCTACATCTGGAGAATGTCCTTGGTATTTTGATTGGTATTTGTTGACTCTGTGAATTGCTTCATGGACATTTTGGCAATATTAATTGCCTTAGTCCATGAATATATATTTTTCCGTTTTTGTGTGTCTGCTACACCTCTCCTTAACGGTTTGCAATTTTCATGGTAGATTTTTCACGTCCTTGGTTAGTTTTCCCAAGGTATTTAAGATGCTGGCGTTGGCAACCGAGAACAAGTTCTGTCTCGGCCAGAGCATTGCTGGTGTGTGAGAATGCTGTTGGCAGTGGCAGCCTGCAGCTTGCCTCTTCCTGGCGTCTCTGGCTGCCCTGTACATAGAATCACGTCATCTGCGACAAGGGGAGGTGGCTTCCTCCTTTCCAACGCAGATCCCTGTGAGCGGATGTCCTTGCCTGATGGCTCTGGCTAAAACCTACAGAACCACACTGAACGGGACTGGTGAAGTTGGCTGCCCTTGTCTGGCTCCGGATCCTAGTGGGTGCTGCCAGCTCTTCCCCATCCAGTATGATGCTGGCTGCGGCTTGTCATGTATTGCCTTAATCATGTAAAATACGGTCCTTTCACACCCAGATTGTTAAGGTTTCTGTCATGAAAGGCTACCGTGTTTTATCAAATGCTTTTTCTCATCTACTGGGATAGTCATAGGGTTCATGTCCCTCATCTTCGTGATGTGATGTATCACGTGTGCTGGCCTGCAAGTGTTGAACACCCCTGCATACCAGGGATAAAGCCCACGAGGTCCGGGTGGTCGATCTTTTTGAGGTGCTGTTGGGCTGTTAGCTGCATTTTACTCAGGCTTTTTGCATCTACGTTCATCAGCGATTTTGGTCTGTAGTTCTCCTTTTAGTGGTGTCTTTCTCTGGTTCTGGAATAAAGGGGATGCTGGCCTCATAGAATGAGTTTGAATTGTTTATGGGGAATTGGGATTTGCTCTTCCTTAAAGGCCCGGTAGAATTCAGCAGAGCCATCGGCCGTGGGTCTGTGTTGCTGATGCAGTCTCCGCCGTGGTTACTGGTCTGCTCCGGTTTTCTTTGTCTTCCTGGAAAGTGGATTCCTGCCACCTCCCAGTTAGGACTCTCTAATGTGTCTTCCTAACCTTTCTGAAACCTGGGTACCCTCTTCCAGACTCTCAGTGATGTGTGCAGTCGATAGACACTGAACGTTTACCAGGGCAAGCCCTCCGACAGAAGAAAAATGATATACAAATTAGAAAGATGTAGAATCGACTCTGACTTGAGTAAGCTGAGAATGGGAGGAACAAGACCAGAGGAAAACCGCTCAGAGGCTGTGGGAAATGCTGCGTGTGGGCAGAGAAGCGCGGGAGTGCTCTGAGCACTCCCAGCCCGCCCTCCTCTCTGCGGCCAGGCCACACCCAGGCAAGGCCTCAGTCCAGTCCACATGCTCCTTGCGCCCTGTGAGTGTCCACTGCAGCTGGACGTCCCTGGGCACGGACCGCCTGCTCACCCGGGACAGGAGTGGGTGCCCGGGGCCCCGATGGCTCGGGGAAGCTGAGCAGGTGGACCTGTACGTTACTGCTGTCCGGGCCAGGAGTTCCTGACACCACCAGTAAGCAAGCGCCTGTGCGCATCCCAGGGTGCGTCACAAGGTCCGTGGAAATGCACGGACCACGGGTGCTTTTTGTGCAAGAAATTTAGAAATCAGTGCAAACAAGAGGCGTTCAAAGTTTCACAATTTTTTTTTTTTTTTGCAATAAAACAGACTTGAATCCATCTCCACGTGCTTTCCAAATCCTCTCTGTGCTCCCCATCGAGCTGCTCGTGAGTTTCCCACCGTGGTGGACGTGGGAGATCTGGGATGATTTGTTTCAGAAAATACACCATTTGGTTTAACACGATCCATAAAATCCTGGCATGCCAGCCTCACATTGGCTTACACGCCAATGTGAGAATTTCCATGTCCGTACAACAGGAAGCTTGGTCTGATGTGACCACATGCCAGCGTGTATCTGGTCACAGAGGAGTCAGAACTCAGTGGTTTTAATAAACCACTCGATTTTCTCTTTATTTTTAAAAGTGCCCTAACCAGTAACCCTGGTTCAATTCCTAGAACAAAACTATAATCTGGGGTTGCCTCGCCTTTGGAATTATTCCAGGAACATCTGACCTTGATTAATATTGTGCTAGTTTTAGGTGCAAAGCAGGCGGATGAGGCACGGTACAAGTCTTGTCAGTCTTGTTTCCAGAAGGTGGGGATGCGTGAGCCGTGCAGAAAGACACTGAGAAAACACGTCAAAGGCATCCAGTGTAGCCACCCCCTGTGTGCTGGGTTCAGCGCTATAGCAGTGTCATTGCGTGATGAAGCAGTAGTGGGGTGAGGACACAGTCACTTAGCTGCTGTCTGTGGAGTGGGGGAGGGGAGTGCACGTGCTACTTCCCAGCCCTGTGAGTACAGAGAGCCGAGGTTCTCAGGTGCTCACGGACGTGTGGGTGGCAGTGTGACGCTTGCCCACCTGCTGTGTCGTGATGGGCACAGCCACGGGCCCTCCGAGATCCAGATGCAGCCCCGGTTCCTGCCTTCTGCCCTGCAGTTGTGGCCATTTGGAGAGGGAACCAGTGGATGGACGGTCTTCCCCACCCACTGGTATCTCTGTCTTTCAAGTAAATCTTTTTTTAAAAAGTTCACGGGAAAAAAAAACAAGGACCCATGCACAGTTTTCTCATGGTGCATTTCCACGAACTTTCTGAAGATCCCAACACGTATCACACACGATCATCCAAGGTGGCTGAAGGGCAGAGCTTGGGCCATCCTACCCTGTGAGCCCCTGTCTTCAAGGGGGTGGGGAATGCCTGAGCCCCAGGGGTTCTGAGGGTCGGGTGGCCCCGCCTCTCCCTGCAGATCTGGGAGGCAGAGAGAGAAGAGCAAGAGGGATCATCCACTCCCTGGCTCACTCCCGAGTGCCTGCCACCGCCATGCCTGGGCCAGGCTGACACCAGCAGCCGGGACTCTGGGTCCCACAGGTGCACTGGCAGGAGGCTGGATTAGAAGTGGACGAGCCCAGACTTGAACCTGGTGCTCCGATGGGGGGGGGCATCCCAAGCAGCATTGTAACCACTGTGCCGAATGTCCACCCCACGATGTGTCCTGTTGAGGGAACAAGACCAGGGACTCCTGCTCCCGCGTCCTTGCCTCTCCGTGTCTTTCACGCACACCTATTTGACAGCTGTCATTCAAAATCCAGCGCGAGGCTTCCTGGGACTCACAGTATCGCTGGAGAGAGGCCGAGGCGCTCCCTGAGCAGGACAGAGGTGGCCCCGCTGCAGGGCTCAGCCAGGACCACGTCCACGGCAGACCAGGCTTCCTGCTGAGCAGCCGTGGGAAGATGAACAGGGAAAGACAGGTGTGCCCAGCTGTGACCATGAGGCACCCAGAGCAATTGTCTCCCCCAGCTTCTGGAAACCCCAGGCACAGCGTGGCTCATGGAAACACTCCACAGACTACAAAAATCCCCTCACAGTCAGAACCTGAAAATCCTGTCAGTGCTGTCCTAATAAGTTGCAGCAGATTTCAAGGGAAATGGAGATTATACAAGACGTGAAAAAGAAACTGAAAGAACCAAGTGCGATCAAATTCCTGTGCGCAGCCCCAGCCCCCAGCCCCACGCCCCACTTCGTGCCCTGGGTAGCAGCTCCCGCCGCACTCAGCGCCACGTTCAGCACAAGACTAGAAATCCCAGTGTCTTGGCTCAGGGGTCTGCTTTAAGGGTAAGGGGAGATGAGGAACGTAAACTTGCATTTTATATAACAGATTGACTTGTAGAGCAGCCTCGGGGCAGTGAAACAGGCGCATTTGCTCATCCCTTGGGCGCTCCTGCGGCGCTGGCTTCCTAAAACAAGCGCCTGAAACGCGTTCAGCACTCAAGTCAGGAAACCCGTGGGCTGGGAGTCGGCGTTCCAGGGCCGTGTGTGGGGTGCGGGGCTGCACCCCCGGGCCGAGCCCCTGCCCCAGCCTGGTGGTCAGAGGAGCGCTGAGAGGGCCGCGTGACGTCACCTTCAGGCTGGGGCCCGAGAGAGCTGCTCGACCTCGGATGGCCAGGCCTTGTCCCTGCACCGGTTCCAGGGTCCTACCCCGCGCCCTGCCGTGTGCCCGGAAGGGGTGCTCACCGCAGCCTCCCCCAGCGTCCGGAGGCTGGCAGTGTGGCCGGTGACAGCTGCCCTCAGGGTGTGAGGTCCCGAGGGTGGGCACCAGCGCACACATTGCTGCTTATCCCACCAATGAAACAGTAAGCTCAGCGTGCAGGAATGAGGAGCATTAAGCTGACTGCTTACCAAACAGGCTCACCCTCACCGGGGCGTCCCCTCGGGCGGCGGTGTGGCCCAGCCGGCACAGCCGCCACCTGTCCTGGCGATGGTTCAGCCCGGCTGCTCCGCTTCTCACCCAGCTCGCTGCTGGTGGTCTGGGAAAGCAGTGGGAGAGGGCCTGGGTGCTCGGGCCCCTGCAGCCACACGGGAGAGCCAGAAGCAGCTCCTGGCTTCCGCCTGGCCACTGAGGCCATCTGGGGAACGGCTGGAGGATCAAATAAATGTCCTAAAAAGGTGAGCTCACATCATGAGTGTGTCAGAGACGTGGGCAGGGCTGGTGTGGACCACCAGACCCCGAGCTGAGAGCCTGCGGCCCTCCCTAGTGACGCATCGGCTCCGTGGCTTCTGCAGCACACGGAGAACCACAAATGGAATCGAGTGTTGGAAGGCACGTTAGACGTTGGGGACGCTGGGGGCAGGCACAGGGGGGCTGAGGGCAGGCGCAGGGGGCAGGGGGCAGGGGGCAGGCGCAGGGGACTGGGGGCAGGCACAGGGGGCAGGGGGCAGGCGCAGAGGACTAGGGGCAGGCGCAGAGGACTGGGGGCAGGCGCAGAGGACTGGGGGCAGGGACAGGGGAGCTGAGGGCAGGCGCAGGGGGCAGAGGACTGGGGGCAGGGACAGGTGGGCTGAGGGGGCAGGCGCAGGGGGCAGGCGCAGAGGACTGGGGGCAGGGACAGGGGGGCTGAGGGGGCAGGCGCAGGGGGCAGGGGGCAGGCGCAGAGGACTGGGGGCAGGCGCAGAGGACTGGGGGCAGGCACAGGGGGGCTGAGGGCAGGCGCAGGGGGCAGGGGGCAGGCGCAGAGGACTGGGGGCAGGCACAGGGGGGCTGAGGGCAGGCGCAGGGGGCAGGGGGCAGGCGCAGAGGACTGGGGGCAGGCACAGGGGGGCTGAGGGCAGGCGCAGGGGGCAGGGACAGGGGGGCTGAGGGCAGGCGCAGGGGGCAGGCGCAGAGGACTGGGGGCAGGGACAGGGGGGCTGAGGGGGCAGGCGCAGAGGACAGGGGGCAGGGACAGGGGGGCTGAGGGCAGGAGCAGGGGGGCAGGGGGAAGCACAGGGGAGCTGAGGGCAGGAGCAGGGGGCTAAGTGCAGGTGCAAGGGACTGAGGGCAGGCACAGAGGGCAGGGGGCAGCACAGGGGAGCTGAGGGCAGGCACAGGGGACTGGGGGCAGGCGCAGTGGGGCTGGGGGCAGGCACAGGGAACTGAGGGCAGGCACAGGGGACTGGGGGCAGGTGCAGGGGGCTGCGGGCTGGCGCAGGGGGCTGGGGGCAGGCACAGAGGGCTAAGGGCAGGCACAGGGGACTGGGGGCAGGTGCAGGGGACTGGGGGCAGGCACAGGGGGGCTGAGGGCGGGGCTGGGGGCAGGCACAGGGGGGCTGAGGGCAGGGCTAGGGGCAGGGGGCTAAGGGCTGCCGCAGGGGACTGGGGACAGGTGCAGGGGACTGAAGGCAGGTGCAGGGGACTGAAGGCAGGTGCAGGGGGCTGGGGGCAGGGGGCTAAGGGCAGGCACAGGGGACTGGGGGCAGGCGCAGTGGGGCTGGGGGCAGGCGCAGGGGGCAGGCACCCGAGGCCAGCTGCCCTCCCTCCCATCATCTTGGAACCCAGTCTTGAACCTCCTTGTCTTCGTTTTTTCACAGTTCTCGGTAAAATCCGGAGCGCCGTGGGGAGTGCCCAGCTCCTCATGTCCCAGAAGTTCCAGCAGTTTTATTGGCTGTGCCAGCAGAACATGGTGAGTGCCGCCCGGACACCCTCCCTCGACACCTGACTGCCGGTCTCACTGCCCCTGACCTGCCCAGGAGCACCTGCAGGGGAGCAGGCCCTGGCCCGGGCCCACATCAGTCCGAGTGCCGGCTCCTCTGCTGCCCGCAGATGGTGGCTCTCTCTGGTCCCCCTCAGTCTCCGCCGCTCTTACAAGCAGGTGAAAAACTAAAGAACTCCTACACGCATGCGTGCTACGGAACACGTGTACCAGCCCTGGGGATGGCCGCAAGTCCGTGTTGCAGGGTGGACCCAGCCCTGGGATGGGCCCCACCTACAGCAGAGCGCGCGTCCCAGGCCAGGGTCTGCACACGGCTGACAGGAGGGTGCCAGCCTGGGGGACAGACGCATCCCCGGGCCCCAGTTAAAGGTGCAGCCGGGGCAGAGGCCGCCAGTGGCACGCGTTGGTGGGGGCCTGGCTGGAGGGCCCGGAGACTTAGAGAAGCGGACTGGTGCTTGGGTCGCATGACAAGCCAAGGGCAGGGTCGGGCAGGCCTGGAGCAGACGGCCCCCGAGGCGCTGAGAGGAGCCGGAGCGGTGGCTCAGCCCTGGTGGCGGCGGGCTCGGTTCTTCCTGCAGCGAGGAGAAGAAACCTCGGGGACTGGGAGAGGTTTGCGAAATGACGGATTAAACTAACCCTGCTGTCAACACTTGCAGTCCACGCACAGTTCTTCACAGTATGCACTCCCACTGTTTTACAGCATCCTCATATCCACACGACTAAACACGCGTGTGCGTGTTCACACACAGGAGGGGCGTCCGGAAAGCCCGTGGAGAATTCCCATTGTCCAGCTCCATCTCCCCATCGGTCTGAAGCCACCTCAGGACGTATTCACGCACGGCGTGTGTGCACACACACATGTACACGCCCCCTCTCCTGCACCCCTCCAGCCTGCGTGGGGACTTCTCCCAGCCGCATGTTAGCTGCGTGCACACGCAGGCACAGGCGGCAGGTGCTGCGTTTCGTTTCTATCTGCAAGATCTCCCGGAGCAGACGGCGCCCCCTGGCATTCAGTTAGGGTTGCTAAAAATCGCTGTCTCCAGAGTTGTCGCAAGCCTGTCACCTTTATCGCCAATGCGCAGGCTCCGCGGCTGCCTGTGCTCGGCCCCTCTGCCCATGGGGCTGCAGCACAGGCGACCCCACACAGCATGCGGCCACCGCGGGGCCTCCCTACCCACCCCGGTGTCAGGCCGCTGAAGGTGGGGCGGCTGCCTCTCTGGGCTCCTCCCCTTCTGGGCTCCTTTTTTAAACTGACCAATTTGCGGGGGCCGGGCCTGGCAGAGCGCGATGGCACTGGGGCAGGATAGGTGCAGTGCACTTCAGGGGGAACCGCAGGACAGGTGCAGGGGATCAGAGCGCTTGAGAAACGGGGGCAGACGCCAGCGTCCGACCCAGACCGGCGGAGGCCACCAAGGAAGGCCTGGCCGAGGTGCAGGCGCTGACGTCAGCGTCGGGGTATGGACGCTAGGCCGAGGGAGGCAACGTGGTGCGGCCGTGGACGCCCTTGGGAGCGTTCCTAAACCCATCGGTGCAGGTAGATGCCCAAGGGCAGAAACACCTGCCCCCAGCACTGACCCAGAGAACCGGATCCTAGCCAGGCTGCACACAGGACAGCTGGGCCGGCCTCGTGGGGCCGTGAGCAGAAACCTGCGCCCAAGCCTGGGCCTCCCCTGGAAGGAGCCCCAGGTGTGATCTCGGGCGTGGGCGCCACGGCTGCCCTGTTCGCGCAGGCTCAGGCCGGCGCGGAGCCCACAGGCATCTGTGGAGCTGCCAGCCGAGCCCCGGACGGCGACCTCACGGAGAGCCCCTGGGATCCCCTGGAGCGAGAGCTCAGCGCTGTGTTCAGAGCCTCGCTCCAGCCCGGCTTCGGAGCAGCGCGCGGCCGCCCTCTGCTGGCGCACGCGGAGGTCTGTTGGAGTGGAGCCGGGGCCTGGCTGGGCACGAGGACATGGACTCGCATGGATACTGTGAGTCCCAGGAAGCCTCACGCTGGATTTTGAATGACAGCTGTCAAATAGGTGTGCGTGAAAGACACGGAGAGGCAAGGACGCGGGAGCAGGAGTCCCTGGAGTCTGCCCAGGAGAGTGTGCAAGGGAGGCTGGGGGGCCTGAGTGTGAGGCGGACGCCAAGCCGAGCATAAGTTCCTGGGGGCCGGGGGTACGCGCGCTTCAGGCCAGTTCAGATCAGCGCTGCCTGCCCCCCCATCCCCCAGAATCCGGCTGTGTGAGGTCACCGGGGGGCTGGGCTCCCACTGGGCAGGTGACCAACCGCACACACGGCACACTATTGCAGGGAAGGGCAGAAGGCGCTGGCACTCTGGGCCGCAGCGGGTGTGGCCTGTGCCCCCGGGCCGTGGTGGGCGTGGCCTGTGCCTCCTGGGCCTGGGACTCAGCAAGGGGCTTCCTTGCTGCCACCCCCCACACAGGGGCAGGCTAGGGGCACGCACCACTGATAGACCTCAGGATGAGATGCGGGGTCGGTCAGGGAGCACGGAGCTGGCCCCGAGCCCACGCCCTCCATCCTCGCCACCCACCGTGACTGCACCCCACGGCCCCGAGGGCGTCTCGTGCACCATCCAGCACCTTCCGCAGGGAGCACTGACGGCTCTCCACGTGCACACGAGCCGACGGCACACAGCCTGTGCCAAAGCCAAGTGCCCCGAGCTCCCGGTGAGCCTTCCCAAGGGTCGGCCTCGCGGGCAGAGCCCCAGACCCTAACTGCCCTGTGTCCCCAGGACCCCAGCGCCATGCCGAGGCCTACGTCGCAGGACCTGGCCGGGTACTGGGACATGCTGCAGCTGTCCATCGAGGACGTCAGCATGAAGTTCGACGAGCTGCACCGGCTGAAGCTCAACGACTGGAAGCTGGTGGAGTCGCCAGAGAGAAAGGTTCGGGCGCCCATGGGGTCCCCAGCCAGGCCCGGTTCTCCCCCGCGTCCGTGTCCATGTGCACGCCGAGCACGGACGGGGCAGGCAGCACATGGCACTCTGCGCTCCCATGTGGAGGGGTCAGGGCCCCCCAGGTAAAGCTGAGGCCCTTCCTCCCGAGGCAGTGAACCCCAGATCACTGACATCAGACTTGGAGCAGGGTCGCTGGAGCGGCCACGGGAGCTCTCGGGTCAGACACAGGATGCCCTAACTGTCCGTGGGCAGCCGCCTGACCTCGGCCTGCAGCTCTGCCGCACTGGCCCGCGCCGGCCCGGCGCTCCCACGGTGGGCCCTCTCGTAGCACTCGGGAGCTGAGCTTTCTGTGGTGTGGCAGAGACGAGGTGCCTGGGCGGGGTCCGGACAGAGCTGCAGAACACCCCTGCGGTCTCATAGCCTCCTCGACCACCCGCCCCCTCCCTCCTCCTTCAGGCACAGTGTGGGAGCGCGGGGGCCCATCAGCAGGCCCCAGGGACCCGCCGCCCGGTGAGGTGCAGCAGGTGGTGCACAGGAGGCCCACGCACAGGGGCTGGGGATCACCGGAACTCACCCGAGTGGGTGCAGGGCTCACCCCATAGCCGGAGTCAAGCCACAGAGCAGGTTCTCTGGGCACCCGTCCACTCCGCTCAGAAAGCCAGCGGCCGCCGCTGAACAATACCAGGCACCGGGCCAGGGCGGGCCCCACCTCCCCACACACAGCGTCCCCCGGGGTTGCTTCTGCTGCAGCACTGTCAAGTTCATCTTTGCAGAGTGCAGGTGTCCAGGTGTGACTCACCCGAGAGCTGGAGCCGAGGGTCAGAAGTAACTGCTGAGCGCACACAGCACCCCCACGCACTGCTGGTGCCAGAGGCTTGGCCAGCAGCTCCCACACAGCCCCGGGTTAGCCCAGCTGTGCAGGCCGCACCTGCCCCCTGTGCCTGCGGGAGTGCGCGTGGGAGGGCTGCGGGCACATCCCTTCCCTTCCCCTCACCACCCCTGCTGCAGGAGGTCCAGCGAGCTGACCCAAGTGCCACCCGCGCAGGGCCTGGGTGGGAGCCGGGCGGGCCTGCTCTGTGGCCCCACGTCCCGCTCTGACCCCCCCCCCCGTTTTCGCTTGTGCTGCTTTTCAGGAGGAGAGGAAGGTGCCCCCGCCGATACCAAAGAAGCCCCCCAAGGGGAAATTCCCCATCGCCCGAGAGAAGTCTCTGGACCTGCCCGACAGGCAGCGCCAGGAGGCCCGAAGGCGGCTGCTGGCGGCCAAGCGCGCCGCGTCCTTCCGGCAGAACTCGGCGGCCGAGCGCGCGGACAGCATAGAGATCTACATCCCGGAGGCGCAGACGCGGCTCTGAGCCCCGCTGCCCGCCGTGCCGGAGAGGCCGCGCTGTGGCCAGGAGCGCGGTGGGCGCCTCCCAGAGGGCGCGCGGCCCACGTTTTGTTACTTCTATTTTTATAAACCGCGCGCTAATCAGCACCCTCACCACGGACAGGCGCGTCCCACGCTCGCCAGAGGCGGCAGATGACCCCGGTGGCAGGTGCTACAGCCGCAGGCGCGGGCCGGAGCGGCCGGGAGCGGAGCGGGCCGCGCCTCGTGCCAGAGCGCCGCGTTTTCTACGGTTTGCAGCCCGCACTCCGGCGGGCGTTTACCTTCCGTCTCCCGCGGAGGCTGCGTTTTCCCGAACTGCGCGGCCGGCTGCCTCCAGGGCGCCCTTGGAAAGCTCGCTGGTTTCAGGCCCCTGAGCCGCCGCAGCCCCAGGAGCTCAGAGCTGCAGACACGTGGCAAAGGCTCTCGGTCTCGCCTGCGGTGCGGTGGGGAGGGGAGGGGAGCGCGCCGCGACGCCCGCAGTGGGACAGAGGACAGGAGTGCGTCCCCGGCCCCCAGGCTGAGGAACAGGCCGCGGGCGTCCGCGCACGGACCCTGCGCTTGCAGCCTGGCGCGCGGGTTCCACGCAGACGGCTTCCCCCGCGCGCGTTCCTGCGCGTCCGGAACTTGGTTTCTTCCCGGACCCTCGCACTTCCACGCCCTGGCCCCAGCCCTGCGCTCTCGGCCGGCCGCGGGAGCTGCTCAGGGAGGCTGGGCGCGGCTGTGCGCTCCGCCCCGCTCCTCCCAGGCCACCTCCCGAGCGCAAGCGCGGGGTGCCCTGGAGCGCAGCCGCGGGTAACGCATGTTTAGCTTCAGAGTTTTACTTTTTTAAAGCTGAGTAGTTAAGAATTCCCTGTAAGAACAGAACCCTGTAAATTGAGCCTCGTATCTGGTATATATTTTACCAAACAGCCTTAAAACATATTTGGAAGCAAAAATCAGTACGAATGTATGTCCTTGAAAAATGCAAAAAAAGCCCTGAAATATTCTTCTATGAAATAAATCCTGTTTCCCCAGTGTGGAACGCACTTTTCTACCCAAATAAACACCTGGAGCCTGAGTAGTGGGCGCCGCTGCCGTTCCTCCTGTGTTCACCCGGAACGCCAGAAGCAAGAGCAGGTGGCACGAGGAAGGCCGTCACCTAGGAAATCCACAGAGAGCAGCGGCCTGCACCTGCTCGCTCGCCACATCTGCTGGAACAGGGTCCTGAATTAGACCACACGTACCCGTCAGGTCTGATTCCGGGGTCGACACCGGAGCAGAGGCGGCCTCTGGATTTGGATTAACGTTTTGTGTGTTCCTTTTCTCTCAGGATCCCCAAAGGCATTGGCCTCAACCCTCTAGCAGTGAGCGCCCCCCCTTCCCTCCCCCGGCTGCCCCTGGCGTCACTGGAGGTGGCACTGGACACTCGTGTCCCAGGACTCGGCACAGTCCCGTGGCCTTCCATCACGGGACACAGAAGCCATGTGACCGCAGCGTGGGTGTGAGGAAGGCACGCAGGTCTCACGGTGCACAGTTCATGCACCAGGCTCATGCGGGACTCAGTCCTCCTGTGAGCCCCACCACAGCCAAACACAACAGTGCATCCTGGCCACACCGGTCCCCGGGGAGACCCCTCCTGGCCAGCAGGTGACCTCAGTGCGAGGCTCCCAGCCCTTCAGAGCAGGTCCCGGAGCCAGCAGGGCCGCCACAGCGGAATGGGCACCCTGCTTTGTCTCCGTGGTCCGACGTGAACCTGGCTGTCACCGTGATGGTCGCCACCCTGTCCTCTCGGCAGACTCACCATCTAGAACGGGGTGCCAGGAGCCAGACTTGCACAAACCAAAAAGCTGCATTTTTGTTTTTTAAAAGGAATGTTTTCTGTATCAGTGGTTAAAGTGGTAAAGAAAGCCCAGTACAATCAGCTGGTTTCTTCCAAAAAACCAAGGCCACAGCACCACTGCCGGAGACCAGCCGGGACCTGCCGGCCTTCGTCGGACTGTGGGGGGCGCCCCCCGGCAGCCTGTGCTGGTGCCGATCGTCCAGGCTGCCACGAGAGGCTCGCTCCGCGCTGTACTCACAGCCAGGTGTGTCTCCGTGGGGCCAGGCGCATTCCTCCGTGACGCTGCGGGCAGGTGGGCGCCGTGCCTGGCCGTGCATGGAGGTGCTGTCTGGGGACCCGCGCCCTGGCAGGGTCAGATGTGCCAGGGGCGAGCAGGGGGTGGGGCAGGGGGCATAGGCCGGGCCTCCTGCATCTGTGTCAGGACAGGTACAGCTACAGCCACCACGTGCACCGTCTACACCCACTCAGCCACCAGCCTTGTGTAGAATGACAGGTGCCCAGAAGGTCCACACACGCAGTGAGCGCAGGATGAGGGCGGGGCCCAGGAACCTTGCGAGGAGCCGGAGCAGGCAGGGTGGGGGATGCCTGCCTGCGTGGGCGTGGACGCGCCTCCTGCCCGCTGAGCCGCTAGCACTGGGGTTGCCCACGCTTCTGCGAGCCCCAGGGCAGGTCCCCCGAGCAGGCCTCACGGCGCTCCGCCCACGTGTGCACTCTGCGCCGTGGCTTCCCGCTCCCACAGCCACGGAGGCCTCACCTGTTGGCCCTGTGTATTTCTTCATGCTTCTCTACAGGTTCCGGCCAAAAGCGGGGCTCCCCGTTGAAGGGGAACCAGAAAACTCTCGCACAAGCGTCTGCCAGCTTCCGGTGCTCAGGACTGCAGCGGTCAGAGCGCTGGACCTCCCACACAGGCATCCCGAGAGCCTGGGGACGCATGGGGTCCAGCCCTTGTGCCTCAGGTGCAGCTCTCCCAGGGGCCCTGGCCTTGGCCTTGACCCCACCTGTGCCAGGCGGCCCTGCCTCAGCATGACCGGAGCTCAGCTGCAGCTTACGTGAACTGCAGGATCCGAAAGCCGCCAGGAAAAGAAATTTGGAAGCAGCAGGAAGCCGAGGGCCTGGGGAGTCCCGGGGTGGAATGGAGAGCCCGACCAAACTCCCATGGCAGCCCAGCTCCCTCGGGGCCACAGAGAGCTCCAGGAACCTTCCGCTTTCTGCTTCCTGCCCAGTACAGCCTCCCTGGTCTCACCTCTGCCATCCAGCCGAGGTGGCCAAGGCCAATGCTCGCCGCCGGGACAGCAGAGCTGAGAGTGGGCCCTGCCACGGCGCCTCCCACGGTGCTGTGCGTCCAAGCCGCCCCCAGCGCCTCCCCCCGCCCCACCCCTCTCCGACTGCTTCCTCAGCGCCCCAGGTGCCAGGCCGCCTGCCCGCCTGCCCGACTCCCCAGCAGCACGTGGCCTCCGTGGAGACCCTGCCAGGCCTGTCTGTGAAGGCCAGAGCCAGGCTCTGGGGCTGGTCTTGGTGCCACACAGAAGCCCTGGCCCAGTCTCTGACGCCATCACTCCTCTCCCACCCCACCCCCAGTCAGCCACAGGATCCTGTAACCCTGCACAGGGTCCCACAGGCGTCCCCACCCCCAGTCGGCCACAGGATCCTGTAACCCTGCACAGGGTCCCACAGGCGTCCCCACCCCCAGTCGGCCACAGGATCCTGTCCCCTGCACAGGGTCCCACAGGCGTCCCCACCCCCAGTCGGCCACAGGATCCTGTCCCCTGCACAGGGTCCCACAGGCGTCCCTGGATCCTGTCCCTGCAGAGCACCCCCACTCCTCCGTGACTGGCTTGCTGAATTGAGACGGGGGCTCCCTCGCCGGGAGGAAGGGACTGCCAGCACACCTGGCCTCCCAGGTATCGCACGACTTCAGGTATGTCCCCTCCGTGGGCAGAGGCACCTTGCCTGCCACCTCCCCACACACTTGGAGATGCAGGCGTGGCCGGAGACAGCAGGAAATGCCTCCCGTAAGACCCCAAGCAATGTTCTGAAGTTTTTAAAGGGTATATAGAGGAGCCGGCGCTGTGCCATAGTGGGTAAGGCCGCCTGCCGCCTGCAGTGCCAGCATCTCATACGGGCACTGGTTCATGTTCCGGATGCTCGTCTTCCGACCCAGCTCCCCGCTCATGGCCTGGGAAAGTAGAAGACGGCCCAAGTGCTTGGGCCCCTGCACCCACGTGGTAAACACAGAAGAAGCTCCTGGCTTCGGATCAGCCAGCTCCAGCCATAACAGCCATCTGGGGATTGAACCAGTGGATGCAAGACTGACTCTCTCTCTCTCTCTCTCTCTCTAACTCTGCCTTCCAAGTAAATAAGTATTTTAAAAGAGCATATATAAATATATGAATACAACTATGCAAACGATGTCCTGGCTCCCAGCCCCCGACGCCCCGGGGCCTCTGGTGCGTTCTATTCAGCAGCCTGCGGGACTGGGCGAGTGGACGCGGGGCCCCCGCGCCCCACACAGCAGTGCCCGCTGTGAGGCTGCCCTGCTCCGCGCGCCGCCCTCCGCCGGCTCCCTGCAGACTCCTGCGGTCGTGCTTCCTGGGGCGCCTCCTGTCTCTCCACACAGGGTCACACAGCAGAGCGCCCTGTTGGAGTGGGGGTCACACTCGCCCTCCATCGCGCGTCTCACCTCTGAGGCAGCGTCAGGTTCCCCACAGACCTCAACCCACAGAGCCGGCAGAGATGACCAACGCTAGGGCATCTGGCCCACGGCTGCGCCACACCCCCAGAGGCTTGCAGGAGAGGCTCGGCCAGCAGGTGGAGGAGAGAGCAGATCAAGGGCACGCGGGGCGGGGCCGAGAGAAGAGCTTCCTTGCAGTTCAGAGGGACCTGGACATGACAAAGGGACAGAAAGCCTCCTCTACGGAACAGAAAGCTCCCAGCCCTGGAGAGGAGACAAGCGTCCACACAAGCAAGGTCGGGGTCCGCAGAGACCTGGCCCACACCTCGCAGCCACGCCCACGCCAAGGAAAAACCCTCAGAAGTCCGGGACAGAGGGCTCGGAGGGCAGCGAGAACAGAGAAGCAATGACCTGGGCGTCACCGGGTGCTCGGTCCAGAGAGCTGGGCGCGGCCACGCCCACCGAGAGCACTGGGCCCGGACACCAGCAGGTCAGTGGGTGCTCGGTCCAGAGAGCTGGGCGCGGCCACGCCCACCGAGAGCACTGGGCCCGGACACCAGCAGGTCAGTGGGTGCTCGGTCCAGAGAGCTGGGCGCGGCCACGCCCACCGAGAGCACTGGGCCGCCAACAGCAGGTCAGTGGGTGCTCGGTCCAGAGAGCTGGGCGCGGCCACGCCCACCGAGAGCACTGGGCCCGGACACCAGCAGGTCAGTGGGTGCTCGGTCCAGAGAGCTGGGCGCGGCCACGCCCACCGAGAGCACTGGGCCCGGACACCAGCAGGTCAGTGGGTGCTCGGTCCAGAGAGCTGGGCGCGGCCACGCCCACCGAGAGCACTGGGCCCGGACACCAACAGGTCAGTGGGTGCTCTGTCCAGAGAGCTGAGCGCGGCCACGCCCACCGAGAGCACTGGGCCCGGACACCAACAGGTCAGTGGGTGCTCTGTCCAGAGAGCTGGGCGCGGCCACGCCCACCGAGAGCACTGGGCCCGGACACCAGCAGGTCAGTGGGTGCTCGGTCCAGAGAGCTGGGCGCGGCCACGCCCACCGAGAGCACTGGGCCCGGACACCAGCAGGTCAGTGGGTGCTCGGTCCAGAGAGCTGGGCGCGGCCACGCCCACCGAGAGCACTGGGCCCGGACACCAGCAGGTCAGTGGGTGCTCGGTCCAGAGAGCTGAGCGCGGCCACGCCCACCGAGAGCACTGGGCCGCCGACAGCAGACCCTCAGACAGGCGGTGAGACAAACGCAACCCAAACACAGAACTCACCACCAGAGCGTCCACAAGGACATGCTAATGGTGTTTCCCAACCCAAAAACACGACCGCCGTGCGCGAGAAGAAACAGCAGAGGGGCTCGGCTTGTCTCAGCAGTTGTGCAGGGGCAGCTGTCGGGCACAGCCGTTATGCCGTCCCTTGGGGCGCCCGCTTGGCCTGCCAGTGCCTGGGCTGAAGTCCTGGCCCCACTGCAGTTCCGGCTTCCCACTCACCTGCATGCTGGGCGTCAGCAGGTGTACCTGGACCCCTGCCACGCCCAGGAGAGGCCCAGCTGGAATCCCGGGCTCCTGGCTGCA